GATGAAGTTAGCCTACGGTTATTTTCCCTCAATTGGCATCAATAAGCGCTGAGGGAACAAGTTTGCAAATATTAACCTCTGTTTTCCCATTTAGGGAAAAAAAGGGCAGCTCACTTGCCAGAGCTCATTTAATTTTGTTTTTTTTTGTTTTTTGAGACGGAGTCTGGCTCTGTCCCGCCCAGGCTGGAGTGCAGTGCCGGATCTCGGCTCACTACAAGTTCCCGCCTTCTGGGTTTACGCCATTCTACCTGCCTCAGCTCCCGAGTAGCCGGGACTACAGGCGCCGCACCGGCGCCCAGTATTTTTGTATTTTTTTTTAGTAGAGACGGGCGACAACCGTGTTAGCCAGGATGGTCTCGATCTCCTGAGTGCCTGGCCGCAAATCTGAATGATTTTCAGTTTGAAAATAAAATATAAAAACTGTTATTGGAATTATTTCTAAACAGAACTAACATCAGAATCATCTGAATCATCAGAATAGTCTATTCTGGAAAAATCAGATTCATCAAATGAATCTTTGGCCAACAACTGTTTGAGAATGATGTTAGTATCACGCGTAGGAATGCTACATTTTCTAGGATTTGATATTTTCAGCCTTGGACAATTACTGTATTTTGTAAATGGAAATCCTGCTACTAAAAACACAGTGCTATAAACAGAATAATCTCTTTTGTTTCCAAAGTCGGTATACTAGAGTGATGTGAAAATAATAATAAAGCGAGATATTTTGTGGCAAAGTTATCTTGGGGAAGACGTCTCAGCTGCAGGTGCCACCAGTGAGTCTTCTCTGGGCAAACGAGGAAAGAATTAAGCAAATCACATTACACATTACTCTTAAATTGGTATCTATGTTTAGCCCTCAGACAAACCGTGATGCTTATTCTTTGCATTGGCAATGAGGTGGTCATTGAATGCTAGAATTATGAATTTTAATTTCATAAAATTTAATTGTTTTCAAAAATCGAAATAAAATGGATTTATTTCAATCATTTTGATGTACAAATTTGATTAATTCTTTTTTTTTTTTTTTTTTTTTTTTTGAGACAGAGTCTCGCTCTTTCGCCCAGGCTGGAGTATAGTGGCACGATCTCGGCTCACTGCAAGCTCTGCCTCCTAGGTTCATGCCATTCTCCTGCCTCAGCCTCCTGAGTTACTGGGACTAGAGGTGCCCACCACCACGCTCGGCTAATTTTTTGTATTTTTTAGTAGAGACGGGGCTTCACCGTGTTAGCCAGGATGTCTTGATCTCCTGACCTCGTGATTCACCTGCCTCGGCCTCCTAGAGTGCTGGGATTACAGGCATGAGCCACCGTGCCCGGCCCAAATTTGATTAACTCTAATTTGTATGTTGCATTTTTGTGTAATAAATACTTTTCTTTTTCTTTTTTTCTTTTTTTTTTTTTGAGATGGAGTCTCGCTCTGTCACACAGGCTGGAGTGCAGTGGCACAATCTCGGCTCACTGCAACCTCCACCTCCTGGGTTCAAGCGATTCTTCTGCCTCAGCCTCCCAAGTAGCTGAGACTACAGGCACACCACCATGCCTGACTAATTTTGTTTTTGTATTTTTAGTAGAGATGGGGTTTCACCACATTGGCCAGGCGGGTCTTGAACTCCTGACCTCGTGATCTGCCTGCTTTGGGCTCCCAAAGTGCTGGGATTACAGGCGTGAGCCACTGTGCCCAGCAATAGATACTTTTCAATATTTGAAAAGAATATTGTTTGAGAAAATATTTCTGACAAAATTAAATTTTTTACATAAACATATTTTTGATTAAAATATTAAGATATTTGTACTTTGAACATGGTTGTTTTAATCCTTACATGTATTTTTAAATCTTGACAATAATAACATAATTTATTTTGCTGAAAGGAAGATAAGAAAAATAAATTTCATGGAATAGTTTCAGTAATTTATAAATTATACCTATCTTTATTTTATTACTCATTTCAATATTAAGAATTGCTTGAACCTGGGAGGCAGAGGCTGCAGTGAACTGCCATCACATCACTGCACTCCAGCCAGGGCAACAGAGCGAGATTCCGTCTCAAAAAAAAAAAAAAAAAAGCAAAGAAATTTTATGATCTTTGACATTTTGCTAACTTTCTGTCATCTACAAATCATAGCTTCATACACATTTAAAAATTTTATCCTTTTAAAGGAGTATTTGTCAGGAGATGAGGCTAGAACATACTTTATTTAGCTCCCTGTTAGTTCAGTTTATAACTTGCAAATATTTAGACAGACGGCCTGTGGCATCCATCTGTCCTCTTGCCCTGAGCTGCACATCCAGACTTGACTCATGGGCCCCAGCTTGGGTTTTCCAGTTCTTTGGATGGATAGGAATCTACCCAGGGCTCATGTTTGTCACAGCTGGGGGGCTGGGGGCGGAGGGTCCCTCTGGTCCCCCTTTGAATGCTGCAGACACCATCTTCTCTCAGATTTTAAGCTGCAGAGACCACATTTCCAGCATGTGGTCTTGAGCTGTGGAAACCTCTCCTCCTGCCCAGGACTCTCACTCTACAGACATGAGTTCATTCAGGTCCCCGAAGCCCCTGTAGAGTTTTGGCCATAAACGGTTCCTCGTAAAGTGGTGCCCCCAGGATGTTCAGCCTCCCCCCGGCCCCTGCAGGCCTCCTATCCCAGGGTGCTATGTGCTGCTGCCCTGCTGGGAAGAGAAGTCCGGAGGGCACGGGGCAGCACTGCCGCTTAGAAGCCCCTTGTACTTTCTCTCTGTCAGATCCTGCCGCCCTGTTTCAGAGGGAAGAGTGGGTTGTCAGTAACAAAATGTTTTCTCCCTTGCCCCTTTTTCGCTACAGTTGGTAGACATTTCTCCCAGACTTCCTTGGTGACTAGTGGTGTTGGGATGTTGTGGCCTTCACAGGGAGGGGACAGGTTGTCAGGTCACCGTTTCACAGATGATTGACCGATGCTGACTGTAACTGGTAGGTCTCTTCTGGCTGCAAGTGACAGAAACCCAACTCAAACTTGTCCTGCAAGTAGGAACATTTATTGCATCTCAGACTGGAAGGAAGGGGAAGGGTGTGTTTGGGTCCCAGAAGCCAGATACAAAATGCCATGTTTTATGTAACTCCATGTATATGAAATGTCCAGAATAGGCAAATCCATAGAGACAGAAAGTAGATTAGTGGTTGCCAGGGATTGGGAGGAGCGGGGTGGGCAGTAACTACTAAATGGGGTTTTGTTTTAGATTGGTGAAAATATTCTAAAATTGAGTGAGGTGGTAGTTGCACAACTCTGCAAATATACTAAAAAACCATTGAATTGTATACTTTAGTAGAATTAATTGTATGATACATGAATTATATCTCAATAAAGCTGTTACCAAAAAATATTGTTCAAGATCTGGCCAGGCAATGCCCCTTTGAGCTAGCTCTTGTGTCCATTTGACATGCCCCAATCCATACTTCGCGCACTCTTTAAATTTCTGGTACAACAAGAATCCAGACTTATCTCATAACCCTTTCCTGCTGCAGCCTGGGAGTCAGCCATATTCCCTAGAGTTGCGGTTGCTTGTTGTGTGGAATGTGAACCAAGATCTGGCCATTATTTCATTTAATCATCACATCTTGTTTTCTGCTTTTAGAAACCAAAAGAATGTCTCATTGTGGGCTGCTACCATCATATGCAGGAAGTTTTAGAATGAAAAAGATTCTGAATTGATCCTTGCTAACTTTATTTCAGAAAGTGGTAAAATAGCTGTGGCATACAGACCCAGTGAAGAGATTGTAGATGTCAGATGGGAAAAAGAACTACACGGTTTAATTCAAGTATGTGGAGATAAAAACTCAAGAGTAACAGGGCCGGGCGCAGTGGCTTACACCTGTAATGCCAGTGCTTTGGGAGGCTGAGGCAGGCGGATCACGTGAGGTTGGGAGTTCAAGACCAGCCTGACCAACATGGAGAAATGGTGGTGCATACATCCCAGCTACTCAGGAGGCTGAGGCAGGAGAATTGCTGGAACCTGGGGGCAGAGGTTGCAGTGAGCCGAGATCACACCCTTGCACTCCAGCCTGGGCAACAAGAGTGAAACTCCATCTCAATAAACAAACAGGCCAGGCGTGGTGGCTCATGCCTGTAATCCCAGCACTTTGGGAGGCTGAGGCGGGCAGATCATGAGGTCAGGAGTTCAAGACTAGCCTGGCCAACATGGTGAAACTGCATCTCTACTAAAAATACAAAAATTAACTGGGTGTGGTGGCGGGCACCTGTAATCCCAGCTACTTGGAAAGCTGAGGCAGGAAAATCGCTTGAACCTGGGAGGTGGAGGTGGCAGTGAACTGAGATCATGCCACTGCACTCCAGCCTGGGCGACAGAGGAAGACTCGAGAAAAGAAAAGAAAAACAACTCAAGGGTCAGATAACATAGCCAGTGTAATCATAATTCAAAACAAGCAGCAGAATTTGGAGGATAATTTCCTTCATTCTCAGGAAAATGTGGAACTCCGAAACTGCTTTTTGAGTGCAGGGTATTTCTGGGGCTTTTCCTAAAGTCTTGACCCTTGGCTCTGACCCCTTATTTGGAGTTTGGAGACAGGACTGAGGACTGTGTTACTACAGCTGTGGACACAGGAGAGGGGTTAGTCTCCCCTGGCCCCAGGAGTAAGGGATGCTGGGCTGCTTGAACACAGGCCTTTTTAGAACTCCCTTCAAACAGGATCCCAGAGATGTGGGAGAATGTAAGTGGCCTCAAGAATGATTGTGCTACAGCTTTCGAAAACTATAATGCCTTTCAAATATGGCTTATTACTTGGATCTCAATATCTCCCATGTACCTTGAGTGGAATATTTTGCTGAAGATCTTTCTGTCAATCATTTACAATCCTGTGCTGCAAAATGAAGTTTCAGTCAACAATAGACCACATATATGATGGTGGTTCTATAAGAGTATAATGGAGCTATTCCTATACAGGTATACCATTTTTATCTTCTTCTTCTTCCTTTTTTTTTTTTTTGAGATGGAGTCACTCTGTTGCCCAAGCTGGAGTGAGTGCAGTGGTGCGATCTCAGCTGATTGCAGCCTCCACCTCCCAGGTTCAAGTGATTCTCCTACCTCAGCCTCCTGAGTTGGGATTATAGGCACGCACCACCACACTCAGCTAATTTTTGTATTTTTAGTAGAGACTGTTTTTTGCCATGTTGGCCAGGCTGTTCTCAAACTCCTGACCTCAGGTGATCCACCCACCTTGGCATCCCAAAGTGCTGGGATTACAGGCATAAGCCACTGCACCCGGGCCCAATTTTTATCTTTTATACAGTATTTTAACTATACCTTTTCCAGGTTTACATACACAAATACATGCCATTGTGTTACAGTTGCCTTTAGTATTCAGTACAGTAACATACAGTACAGGTTTGTAGCCTAGGAGTCGTAGGCCATACTATATAGCCTAGGTGTGCTGTAGGTTACACCACCTAGGTTTGTGTAAGTATACGCCATGATGTTAGCACAATGGTGAAATCACCCAATGACACATTTCTCCAGCTCCTCACATGGCAAGCAATGCATGACTGCATATGAAAGCTCTTAAGTAGGGAATAAGTTTCTAAATCTCAAAACAGTCACTATTTACTATATGTAGATTTTTTTTTTTTTTTAATGAGCAAAAGTATCATTTCAGTGGGAACTCAACTTGGGGCTACAGTGCTTTATTTAACTTTCACCCCAAAGTTGCAAAGTGTTTTGAAGTTTTTACCTGTAAAATAATCATTTTAATTCTATTTAAATAAAACCCTCCAAGGAAACTTCAAGCTTTAAGAAGTCTAGGTTCCTGTGAAATGTGAGAGGAAGTCAGCACTGATTTCAGAAATCTGATTATAACAATAGATCCATCCCCAAATGAGGCAAATCTTGGAATCTCTTCAATTTTATTTTATTTTATTTTTTTGAGACGGAGTTTCTCTCCTGTTGCCCAGGCTGGAATGCAATGTTGCAATCT